GGCTGGGAATTTTATACGCTTGTTAGGAAATGACGCGAAAAATTGCATTTATCACAGCTAAGACAACGGTTTCCTTGACAATTTTTTGTTAAACTGAGGTACATAATCGTTCTTTTAGAGAATCCCTGCCCAAATTAAAATTTTAACAATGACAACGATTTTCCTCCTCTCAAGGAAAGTTCTTTTGATCTGAGGAAGTTTCTTCTTGCGAAGGAGAATTCATTTGTCCTAAAAATGTAACTTAGTTCTGAGGAAAGTCTCCTCGTCAAAACGAAAATTTTATGAAGTATAAGAAAGCAGAAAGGTCATACATGTGGCGTTTGAGTGTCGTAGAGCGCCAGAGTGCGTTGTAGGAGCGACTTCTATGCGTGTAAAAAGGCAGAATACATGATACATGAAGTAGTAGAAATACCAAGGAGGGGAAAAAAACTACCATGGACACATCACGATGTGCTTGGTCATGGTCATGGCGTGAGGCTGATTCTTGAAATTGGTGGACAAAGCTGTAGACAAAGCAGACAAGAGTGAGCATTAAGTGATCCTATTGGTTGAAATGGGTGGTTTTTATAGACTAAGGGGGTAAATGATGGACTAACTATGGAGTCTTTCATGGGTTACCGTTAGTTGGTCTATTACCAGCCTCCTTCGTCAATTGCAACCACTGGCTTCTACTAATAGGATCCCTTCATACTCATTATGTTTCCTTATGTTTCATTTATGTTGTATCTCGAAGTGCCCGCTGGGCACTTCGAGATTTGACCGGACTTAACGCAATAAGCCCACACTTCGGCTTTTACTCGGGACGTACACACAAAAATCAAAGACAGCTCGTAATATAATTAACCCAAGTCTCCTAAGAAGTAGTGTACATAAATGGTTCCGAACCCACGCAAAATAATTATCGGCTTAACTTAACCGGCCGGCTCAACCTAACCTGATGGCTTAAGCCAGAGTTAAAATGCGCTCGTGAGCCGTTCGTTCAGTTCATTTGGAGGCATGGGTAGCACACCAGGGGGGGAGGGAGAGCAGAGGAGACATAGTTTGGAAACTAAAACTGACCCATTGACCCGCGGTGCGTGCAGGCGACCTCGGCGTCGGCGGTGCGGTAGGTTAAATCTCCGGCCGAACAAGATGGGTATAATTACAATCAGCGGTGTAAACAGCTTCCACGCGATGTCCGGCCGGTTTCTATTCAACACAGACGCATGTTGTAAGTCGCGACGTCACGCCTGCTACTGCCACCGTTGTCGAACCGTCCTGTAAAAACACGGAATTCTTGCTTTGTCACTAGAGTATCGCATAGGTTCTTTCGAAAATCCGAAAACTGGAGTTCCTTTATACTGAGAGTAAAGACAATGCGAATCCATTTATGATTAGGTCCCGTTTTTTAGGCCTTCACAGTGACACAAACGGGAATAAGGTTACATGTTCACCAAATGCAAAGATTATAAACTGGAATGGACCGGGAAATAGGGGGACGGCAAGGAACAAATGGAACGAGAGAGGGAACGAGAGAGGGAACGGAGACGGGAACTCAGGAATGGGTTAATCGAAGTTTACCAAAAATGTCCGATTTGTGTATAATCGTCATACTCGGTTGTGAAATCCGCGTTGTCTCAACTCTCTCTATAAAGGGACTCGACCGAAAACAGCCGATGGTCAGTTTGACCACGTTCAGCAGAGAGGAACCAAGTCAAATTGGCCGTTGCTAAAATGCATACAACAATTTTTTTGAAAAGGAAAACGGTTCTGCGGATTCTTTTGAAAATTTCAAGGAATTTGCTTCAAGTCTTGTAGGTGATCCCTCGAGATTTGCGAAAGAACATTTTCACCACCATTTTTTCGTGAAAAAAGAAATCATCCGATGAAAGGCTGATCCGGGTGAATTACAGTACGCCATATCGTTAGATCTATGTATTATGAATGATGCATGTATATCGATGGCTAATGTGTGAAAACACGTATCTCCATTGCGAGGTTTCAAAATTTCCGCTCTTATTTTATTTTTTCGAGAAAAGCCAACTTTGAAATTTCTGTAGAATGTTTTCTATTGATGATGGAGAAAAACCAGGGAACTTTTCAAGAAATTACGTTAACTAGTTTTCTGAAGAGAAAGTTCAATATGACAGAAAATCTACCACATCGCAAACACAGATACGTGCTTTCGTACTTTGGCCATGGATATGTTACGGGCAGATCCCGATCCATCCGGGCAAATCGCGAATCGTGATGAGCCCAGCAATTTTGTGTGTTGCCCATATATGTGGTGAGAGAGAGGAGAGGCAACCAGGAGAGCTGCTATTTTTGAGAAAAAAAGTTTCGATCATAATATCCCCTTCTGTGGGGGTCCTCAAAAATTTCGGAGCAAAGAAGTTTGCACTCATCCATGAGCATCCTAAAACTTTTGTCTCGTGATAGGAATTAGGTAACATTTTAGAGAGGCAGACCGGACTTTCCGGGCACCCTCTATATTTACCGGAGACTTAAACGAACGGGTAGAAAGAACAACCATAAAAGTTATTCGGAAGCACATGTATTCTCGTGGGACCGTTCATGGTACACGCTGACGAGATGGCTCGATCTCTTCGTTTTGATGTTCTGAAATAGAATTTCGATGTTACCGCGCTCAATTTTCACTAGGACACCCTTAAATTCAAGATGGCATCCAAAATGGCCGCTACGGGAATGAAATCGGTGAAATTAATTCCCACAGTCGACATGTATGTCGACTCCTTTATATCTTTGGTCGCAATTTCAAATATGAGCTTCAAAGTTTATTTTCACCTCTTGGTGACCCTAAAATCCAAGATGGCGACCTATTTTCCCCTTGAAAGTAAAATAGGCATGTCCTAATGTCCGTCCTCACGAACGTCACATTTACGGTGACACCACTAGCACATTATTACTACATACTATACATACTATTATTGCTACGTAAAATCGAAACTCGACCTGCTGCTTTTATTGCCAACCTTGGCAAAGCAGAGGTCTAGGTCGCAAATATAGTTTCGACCGTAATGCACAAAATCGGTCTCAAAACGGAAGGAATATTCCTAACTGTGTGATTTGAGGATATCAAGGTGATAAAGATTTAAAACCCAATTTTCTGTCATTTTTAATGATCTGATTCCACCGTAACCAGAAGCCTGAGCTCAGAGCCCCCCGGACCCCCGACCACGATAATGCTCATTACTCACCAGTGGTCCGTACATAATTGCGTGGACGTTTAAAAAACCAAGCAACAAGGATGTCTCTGTAACCGTATTTGCCTCATTTTTTATGCTCGCATTTTCTTTCCGGGAACAGAGGTCAAAGGAATGCAGAAACGAATCGATTTCGTTTTAATATTCTCAATCGTGGTTCATTTCTGTGTTTCAGGTTCAGGAACGGTGGAATGTGAACAATAAAATAATGACCCCCACTGAACTGCAGTCTGAGTGCATCTGCCGCACCATGCAGGTATGTAAATGCATTATTTGACTCCGGGCTCGTTCGGGTACCTCTCCAACATTTTCTCTTTCTTTAGCATTCATTCATCGGGCAAGTTCCGCGGGAAGTTTTACAATGTTGCACTCAGAGGTCCTTTAGCTTCCGATCTCTCCGGAGATACCGCGTATCGGAGAATCTTGCATTAAATAGGATCCGGTAACTCCACGAAAGAATCCGCCTGTTCACAAGTTCACAAGTGGAGTGGAAATTCGGAATATTCTAAGTGCCGTCAGATGTTGCCGATATGGGCATATGGCAAAATTTTGCGAGAGTAAACATTAGAGTTGTTTCCTCTAGAAAATGTCTTAAAAATCACGATGAATGCATCGAAAAAGTCTGATTTACACTTTTATAACTTCACAATCTACGTAAGAAATATGGGGTTTTTCAAGCTTCCCACATCAAAAGCGATACAAAGGCACAGATGAACCACTAGATTATATGGTTACACGAGGATTATAGTCATCCAATCTCAGCAACAAGTGTCGATACTCAGAATGTTTTGAATTTTTAATCTTTAAGTGACTCGCGTCATTTACAAGTATACTCTTTCGTTTTAAAAACAGTTGCATGATGCGAGGACTTGGGGTTATTGCTGATCAAGTTTAAAAAGCCTCGATAAGAATTCCGGAGACACAAAAAACCTTTTTGAAATGAGCGTATCGCCGGTATTTTGAGAATTAAAGATGAAAAATCAACAAGAATGAGGCAATTTCTCATCCGAGATTCACCTAAAAACACTAATTAAAGGTAGGGGTTTCAAATGTAGTGTTTAGTAATTTTTAGGGGAGGGAGGGGGTGCAGACCTGTGTTACATGAGATAGGACGAAGGGGGGAAGGGGTTAAAAATCTGATTTCCAGCGATACATATTTTATGAACGCTGTCGATGTTACTGTTTGGATTTAAATCAACCTGTTCCAATAATCCATCCGGATCATACGTCAATTGGGATCAAAACTACGATGCGAGCAACTTTAAAGATAGGGGTTTCAAATTGAGTGTTTAGTCTTTTTTTAGGGGGAGAGGGGGTGCAGACCTGTGATACGGGCGTGTTACATGAGGGAGGACGAAGGGGGGAGGGGTCAAAAATTGGATTTAAATCAACACTGTTGCAATAATCCGTCCGGATTATACGTCAATGTGGATCAAAACTACGATGCGAACAACTTTGCCTCATGGGTAATAAACCGACACCTGTTGCATAGTCAACACCTGTTCAGCCCTGTAATGGCGTCACTTTTTGGAGCAGCCTATACCTACTCCTGTGAATATTTTATTCAATGCTCTTAGGCAACCTGCGTCGGATTCACGTTCACTTTCAACCATCCCACGCATACGAAGCCCATGGAAAAATGCATGAAATGTTGTTTCGTAATGCGCTCCGATCGGTTCGAGTGCAAGATCTACTAAAATCTGCTCATCAAACTTCGAAAAAGTCTTAAAAGATAGCTCAGAACTTTATGACCCAACTTTCTCCTCCACGACATGCGCTTTGAGCTTTATCTATTGGTTTTTTTTTCTTTCATGCGCGGACGAAAATATGTCGAGTTTCAAACGGCGATTGTCACCTGTCATCTGTCGTCAGTTTATCCTGTATTTTTTTATAGGTATACTGGGAACAGGAATTTTATCGAAAGCTTATTGGATTCCAAAGCCTAGCGTCTCAACCGTGATGTTTCCAGATTTACTTTGTATTTTATTCGTCGATTATTTTTCGCGTTGGTGACTAATATTTGTTTTGATGGTAGTGATTTGTTCGTGCTGATTCAGGTATTCTTAGAAAAAACAATTAATGAGGAAAGAGAGTGTTTCTTCTCACCTCCTTCGTCTTTCTGATGAAAAAAAATGGGAGAAAATGTCCAAGGTTACAGTCGAGAAAGAGTTAACAGATAGAAACCCTATCACCAAGTCTCAGTAGAAACTTCTGAAGAAATCTCTCAGAGGAAACTTATTGATTTAATCTAAACATCAATAGCGAGGACTGCAATTAGAAAAGTATAACTATTGATTTTCTCATGGATGACACTTTAAATCTCTTTTTCTGAAGAGTGCATTTCATTGTGCTAGCGGGCTCATCGTTGAAATTGATAGACAAAGCTGTAGACAAGGAGTACAAAAAGGATATTGAGGGATCCTATTAGTGGAAGCGGGTGGTTTCAATGGATGTAGGAGGTAGGTACTAAGCTAACCAACGGCAACCCACGAGAGTGCCTTGTATCATTTACCCCCTTAGTCTATAAAAACCACCCATTTCAACCAATTCGATTGCTCCATACTCTATATGTCTTCTTTGTCTATCGCTTTGTCCATCAATTTCAACAATCAGCCCGCAGGAGGCAACCCAGAATATGGATCATTCGTCTCATGCAACGTTACCCCAATGAATGGTCGGGCCAGAGAAAAAATTATAGATCGTATTCGATACATCAAACGGGTGAGATTGTATCGATATCGATTGGTTCAAAACATAAACATAGCCTCAAAAGTAAATTCAGAAATCGGAGAGAACGGGTCTTTTGTAACAGATTTTTTATTCTTTTGAGTACCTACCAAATGCCAATGCAAAGTGAAATTGTCAGGAAATTTCTCATTTTCAGCCCCTTACAGTTTGGTTTGAGGTTATGTGCTATTGTTTTTAACTAAACGATACATCGAACCGTTATCGAATACGGTCTATTGAATCTCTTCGCACCGGTGGCAAAGGAGAAGAAATAAATAAAAATAAATAGACAAAGCCCCACCGAGGAAGAACCGCGTAAATCCCATAGAAACTCAACGACGACCCGCGGTTTTTGCCGGGAAGACAGGGGAGTGGTCGGCGAGTTTTCGACTCACGCGCTTGCTCGGTGAGTCTCGAGCGGCGACTTGAAAGAGACAACCCGTTTGACCCACATCGTCTAAAGTTTTCAGAACAATTAAAAAAAAAATACTGTGTAAAGAATTTTTTATCGCGGAATTATGCCGTATGATGAGGGCATTTACACTCGGCGCGAATCGAGAATGGTCATTGGTTCCGCGAGTGTCTTTCATGGTATCGCGGCGAGCGGCATTTCCCATGAACCATCCGATCCGCTCTGTCTTTCGCTTGGTTTATTTACTCTCTTTGGTACTCAAGCGAATCTGACGGATGCTCGGTGTCACCCTTGTCATGCTCCTCCTCTCAATCAATCGTGATGGATTGTAATTTTAACATCACTCTCTTTGCTGAAACGCTTTGTTGAAAGATTCGTTTTTACAACACGAGGTCATAGGCGGATGACAAATCTAGAGACCTCAAACAGAGAGGGAGGGTGTAAGGGGGTACGGGGGTATCCCCCAGAAAATGTTCGAAGCTGTGAGGAATCCAATATGCAGTTTGAGTAAATGTCGTAATTAAATATTGCAAAATGTAAGCAATGTTTATAATTTGTCGCAACTTGCGCAATGCTTTGCACTAAGCAAAGATGGATTATGAGGATTCAGTTCCAGATGCCACATTTTTTGTTCAATTATTATGAAAAGTATCTTCAAAAAACCACAAAAAGTGTCTCAACCAAATTTTTTAATACCAAGATGGAAATTGATGGCTTTCAACAGAAGTATAATTCTTTTCAATGGTATAATACCCAAGATTGACGCCAAAGTTAGCTACGAATACGTGAAAGTTAATATTTTGGTAAATTCGCATCTTGCGGTTTGAAAGGAGACGAAAACTATAAAAAGAGTTGAATTAATGGCTGCTAATACATTATTCGGACCGCGTTAAGCAGAAAGGAACCAAGCCATATCAGCCATTGCCAAATTTAACCGGGCAATTTAATTTATTACATGAGAACGATGTAGCGGATTTGTTTGGAAATTTCAGTGAATTTTCTGCATGTTACAAGGCAGATTCGCTAAAATTTTCAACAAAATTAGCACAAACGTTCTTTTGTTGAAAATTAAATACCTCAGTTAAATGTGGCAACAGCCGATGTGGCTTGGTTCCTTTCTGTTAAATGCGGTCCATTTTTACATACACGATTGAAATTTAAGAAAACGCGTGCAATTGCCAAAATATGTCCTATTCTTTAGGTGAACGATCTTTGAAATTTTTTTTTCCCTATGTGTGTCTCCTCGTCCGAAAACAGATGGTTTTGGACTTTTTTCGCACAACTCCCAGCAAATCCTCCCCCCCCCCCCCCATCAATCCCCCCCTCTGAGTTCCCCCTCATCAATATTTCTCCCCCTTTTCTTATCCCACGAGTGTCGTGCGGAAGGTCCTGAGAAATCGTCGCTTGCTGATGACGTAAAAGCGCGTAACCCTATTTTTGAATGGATCCTACTATCTACATAACCCAATGTTTTCTAGGGCTCACGCAAAAATTGAGATACGCAGCGACGAAATCAGGGGTTAACACAGCGCTGCACTGTCATAAAACAATAAACCCGAGGTCCCGCCGCGGGTGGAGAATTCGCCGTAGACGCTCGCGACCGCTGGAATTGCCTCCGTTGACCGCATGGCTCCCGCGAACGAACCGAGATCGCATGCATAAATCTAAATCCATCGCGTCATTTCACTTTCTTGCGAATTAGATAGTGACGAATAGGCATACAAATGCGGAATACGGCAAGTTGTCGCTGTCCCGCGGTCGTTTTTATTACCGCGATGGTCATGCCGGCCACCAACCCCCCCCCTCCGCCCTTTCCACGCCCGCGCGCCCGCCGGAACTCACGGGGCACTCGCGGATGTCTTTTCGGTCAGGTGATCGGTCGCCGTGTGACTCTGATTGTCGTGATTATTTGTTATCCGCCCTTGCCGGACTTCTCGGAAACCGACTGTGTGCGCTAGACGCACGAGTCGTATGGACATAGTGAGTTGGAAATGTAGTCAAATCCAGATGACTGGAAATCTCAATACAGATGGAAAAAGTTCATTCAAGCACAATTGAATCGGTGAGTTCGAAAACACACCAACTCGGGTTTTTTTCCAATTTCACTTTTCTACGGT